CAGAGACGGTGAGAGGGTTTTATTTTGCAGCATCTTTTCTATAAATATATTTTGCAACTTGTTAAACGTTTTGTCTACTTCAGTAAAGCTTAGAATGTGTAACATATTCATTCTTGTCAGATTTTAATGACAGTGACACTTATTCAAACGTGTAACACATTAAATACTGAGGTGTGATTTGCTCTCATCTATGAAGAGTCAAGTTCTGTAGTGTCAAGAGCCAATCAGCTTCCAGGAGCTGGCCCCACCCCTGGATTCGTCCTTTATTTTAGATTTATTTTGTTGGCTGTCACTTAAGAATAAGAAATACAATGTAGTATTCTAATGTGACAGCCAGCAAAATAAGGAAAACTCGTTATTTAAAAGATTTTTTATTTTTAAATTGACAGTGGGCAACCTCAGGGGCCAATCAGATTCCAGGAGCTGGCCACATCCCTGATGTCGCCTATGTCAACATATTTTTGAATAAAGATTTATTAGACTCTTTGTTGGCTGTCACATAATCAATCAATCGATCAAATTGTATTTGTGTAGCCCATATTCATAAATTACAATTTATCTTATAGGGCTCAAAAAGGTGCAACATCCTCTGTCCGTCAACAAGAGTGAGACAAAACTACCAAAGAAACATATTAACAGGGGAAATCCTGATAAAGTTTTCATAGCAGTTTTGTATTGATGCAACTCAGAGAGAGCCACATGTGAGGGATCCCTGAGTTAGACTTCTGTCAGAGCTTTCAGCCATATCTCATGACCTTCATTAGCAGATAGAGTTGGTTGTCATCACCCTCGCTGATGTTCAAGATATGTAGCTCTATAAGATTGATGACAAACATTTACATATTACATATTCATCTCTCTCACCTGCACAGATACRCTGCCCGGCCATTTCCCTGGTGCGATCAACATGCCCTTCACTACTTTCATGGATGCCAATGGAAAGGAGCTGGAGACCGARGGCCTGTCCAAACTGTTCAGAGAGGCAGGGGTGGACCTGGAGAAACCACTGTGGACCACCTGTACTGCTGGTGTCACCGCGTGTCACGTTGTCCTGGCTGCTCACCTGCTGGGCCACCCTGGAGTGTGTGTCTACGACGGCTCCTGGTCTGAATGGTTTAAGAAGGCAAGTCCGGAGCATATCATCTCAGAGGGAGAAGGAAAGAARGTCTAAACAAACAAAATTGGACAGACAGCAYGTGAAGATGTTTTTACAAGTGAAAGCTGTTTGTCTGCTGTGACAGATCAAGACCACTATACTGTGCTTTTAGAAGCATGTTCATGTTGAGCTTGTTATCTGCTCACTCACATAACTTACATAACATGGCAGTAGCAGGTTTTGTCAGCTCACAGAGCTGATTGATCTCCTAAAATCTCCTATGCATTATGCAAATAATTAAAGTTTTAATTTTGAACCTTGCATAATTCAGAACAATCTAAAACTATCCTGAACTAGTCTGTAGTTGTTTGTTGAATGGTCCAAGATATTTTTGAAAATCTTTGATGACAGGAGAGGACTGACTCTTAAATATGCACTTTCTTTATAGAATCATAGATTGATGTTGTATTCTTATAAAAAATTCAATAAATGGTTTCCTGAGCTCCTTGTGTTCTTCTGGTAGATTGTCCCATTGTTTCATTTAACTCTGTTATAATAAAACTTGTTCCTGCATGGAGCCAAAACTCCTGTATTCAGTAACTACAGAGTAAATATTGAACTGTTTGAGGAGCTGTGGAGGAGAACTGGGCACAATTCTGTACATGGAGGATATTTTGATCAACCACATGATTCCCCCACAACCCATGAGATCATTGGAAATGATTGAAGGTCTCTTCCTCGTCCAGTTTTATGGTAAATGTAATGCAGAAATGTTTTTTTTTTACTTTATTGCATTCTTAATTATTGAGTTAAATATGATAAATTTACTTCAGGGGGCTAGCTGAAGTAAAGGGCATAAATACTCCTCCGTGTTAATGGATGGGACATGGGCCAAACTAAAGAGTTAAAGGAAACGTTTTTCCCTTGGTTTCCCCTGTTTTTCTGAATTAAAGAGATAAATAAAAGGAAATCATACCTCAAAATCCAGCGGCACTGAAGTTCTGGTTGTTGCTGCACGTCAGCCCAACCCACAAGCAACCATCGAACCGTGCTAACAGAGGTAAGACACGAGTATCTGCAAATGACTGAAACCACAATCAGAATAAAACCGGATCAAACCAAACAGACGAGACATGTTTTCTTCCATGAAAGTGAGAGACTATTTTGTTAATTCAGAAAAAAAAACAGCCCTCTTATTCTGAACTAACAAGATCATTTTCCTGAACAAGACAATTCACCCTGTTTTTCTGAATTAACATCATTTAATTTTAAGTAAAATGATCTCGTTAATAAAGAAACAGCAGATTTTCTGTCTCTTCCGCAGGAAACTAAATAAAACACTAAAAAAAAATAACAAATCCACATCCAAGATGGCCGACCGTGTGTGACGTGTGTCATTTAGTCGTCCTGCAAAGTGCCTGAAGGTCCTCAGGTAATAAACAAACGGGGGTCCTGATTCGGCGACAGTCGAGCGGTCGAGGCGTCACGTTGTTTCACAAACTGTGGTGAATTATCTAAAGCGGCGGCGACATCTTTCCTCTGAGAGTGTTCGAGCGATGTAGAGTCTTGTTATTCGCGAACCAACCGAGTCTGTAGTTTTGTTTCTGAGCGTCGCGTCGTGTGTTTTCCGGCCGCAGCGCTAACGTCAGCGCCACAGAAGCAGAACGAGCTGGGCCTCAAACCCGCGTACTTCTGACATTTAGCTGAATAAAACAACAGGTGAGTCCTGACGTCTGTGCTCGAAGCTACCGCGAGGCAGCTTCAGTCCCGTGTCCCGGGTGGACGTCGTGTCCCGGAGGCGTCACGGTCGCTGTTTTCTAGTAAACAGTCAAAAACGCGTTGTGTTTTAATTTGATCCAGAACAACATCCAGTGATTTGAGTTCGTGTTGGGGTGGTGGTGGTGGTGGTTGGGGGGGATCTGTGTTTCCACAGGGAGGCGTGGATGAGCAGCGATGTCTGGCATTGCTCTCAGCAGACTGTCCCAGGAGCGTAAAGCCTGGAGGAAGGACCACCCGTTTGTGAGTGCGCTGGTCCCACATCACATGTGCTCACTTTACATGTGTCCGCCGGACCCACTGATGTTCTGTGTCTGCAGGGGTTTGTTGCTGTTCCCACCAAGAATCCAGACGGCACCATGAATCTGATGAACTGGGAGTGCGCCATCCCTGGGAAGAAAGGAGTAGGTGTTATCCTGATGTCCATACAAAGTTTTCACGTCGATAAATGTCTCATTATTCTGCCTTTTGTACTTTAAAGATTTGATTCCGCAACACTTTTTAGGAGTTTCAGGGGTGAACGGTGTTGCAGACGAATCCAATGCAATTGAAGCAAATGGTGACCGCTTCGTCAAACGTAAAGAAACAAACAAAAAAAAATTGCGTCCATGCTGCACATGGTGTCATCCAAGTTTCCATAAGCCCCCACGTTCAAATTGACTCGACACAGCGTCTTTTACTCCATGTTTTTAGCCTCACTGTCCTCTGTTGCAGTTGTAATACATCCCTGTGTTTTCCCTCAGCGAGTTCACTAACGCAACCAATATGTCCTCGTTCTGTCTTTAGACCTTGTGGGAGGGAGGACTCTACAAACTCAGAATGCTGTTCAAAGATGACTACCCGTCCTCACCACCCAAATGTGAGTATGCTCTTGGAACAGACCAGGGCAGATGTTTCCATACAGCTGTTTGCTGTTTGCACCTCATGCAAAGGACAAGATGACATATCTTTCTCTTTTAAGTGTTAATTTATTTTATCACTGGATTTGACAGCCGGGGATATACGAAGCTTTACACATTGTATATTGCAAATATTAAACACTGCATGAATTTGCGTATTGAAATTAAATGGAATAGATTACAGCATACAGTGCAACCTTCCATTACGTAATAAGTCTTGTTTTATAGTGCGTTGATATTCAGCTGTTGAACACAACTCGTATTTGATCAGTGATGTTGGCAAACAGATGTGAGGAGAGTTGGAGTTTCACAGATCCTCCTGTGCTTTAGAGATAGTGTTTGAAAACCTTTAGGTAATGACACTTCTCTATAAAGACAATATTGTATTTTGTAACTTTCAACCCGATCTTGACCCTGTTTTCTATTCACTGTTTTTTTTTTTTCCTCAGGCAAGTTTGAGCCACCAATATTCCACCCAAATGTTTACCCCTCAGGCACTGTGTGTCTGTCCATCCTGGAGGAGGACAAAGACTGGAGGCCAGCCATCACCATCAAACAGGTTTGAACTCCTGTTTTCTTCCTACCCATTTGTTATTGCACAGTCCAGTAAATGTATGTCAATTACTTTGTTTGTATGTTTGAAAAGTACCACACTGACTGGACTGTGACTGGAGAAGTGTTGACTGTGTTTTCAGATCCTGTTGGGGATTCAGGAGCTGCTGAATGAGCCTAACATTCAAGACCCAGCACAAGCAGAAGCTTACACGATTTACTGGTAAGTGTATCTGCCCTGACCTGCAGCTGAAGCCTGTTTTAATTTTATTTGGTAATATCAAAACAACTGTAAAATGTTTTTGAACCCTCAGCTCTTTTTTTTGTCATTTCCACATCTGCAGCTTTTTTCAGTTTCATGTCCGTCATCATGTAGAAATGTCATCAACACGCCCACTCGCTCGTAGTGACTTTGTTTTACTTGTGATGAGTCAGTTTTTCAGACACTTTACCAGGGAGCTGGCAGGAAAGGTTCCTGAAAATGTGCGGATCAACTTATGCGCTCTCACAAACAGTTCGTCCAGAAAATTTGAGGACAATTCAGTAGATGTATGAAAGTAGCTCTGGAGTTGAATCCCTATAAATGAACGTTAGCAGAGTTTAAAATGTCTTTATCTGTCTTCTTTTTGTCTTCAGTCAGAACAGGATGGACTATGAGAAGCGGGTAAGGGCACAGGCCAAGAAGTTTGCCCCCACATAGAGAGGAGTGCTGGCCTCATCCTGCCAGAGCAGCCTGAGCTGATGGCCACAAACAAACAGGAGGCAGGCGACAGCTGAAGGACCACTCCAATATTATTATCATACTATTATACAGAAGACAGCTTTCTTTCTTTTGTTCTCTCTTTCTTTCATTCTCTTTTTCTTTCCTACTCACTTTTAAACAACAATAGATCATACTTTTACCCACCTTGATGAAATATTTATGCGTTTTAATCCGTAGCTGATGATCCTGAACTCTAGATCTCTGCTGTCAACATGAACTTTACTATTTGTTACTTTTTGTATAATTCACATCCCCAGTTTTGTCCTCAGAGCTTCAGAGCTCTTTCATGCCTCCATTAATACATCAGTCATGGGACAGTGCTGTAGAATAAGGTCTTATTTAAAAAAGCCCTCATGGTGTAATGCGGAGTCCGTTCGGGTTGAGGAAGAGTGATTCCGTAACTTTTCAGTTATTAATCAAACCCTGGGAATATAGCAGGTCGTGTTTTCATGAAAATGGGTTTAAACTGGCACAATGTCACAAATTCAGTGGACGTCAATCAATCATCATCCCTCCACTCATCCCATCACAGCAGATTTTCCGTTAAAGCGAGAACCATCAACATGAGGGTCAATCTCTCATTTGCATGTGGATTTCAAGCAAAGCAGTTGCAGTTATGTGAGCAGGAAGAGACGCTCTGTCCACCTCCGAGCAGGACGAGTCGTGTTTGAAAACTGGGACGTGTGGGTTCAGGGCTTTTCTTCCTCGGTCAGTCATCATTTTATTGCAGTGAAACAAGGGTTAAGATTCTTTTTGTGAATCCAACTGGGAGTGAAACTGTTTGTCAGTTACAGTGATGAACCGAGGTCACTTTGACCTCCAGTAAAATGAATTCGAATAGTCTCCCCGCGTGTTTCTTTTTGACTCTGTTCATTCAGTCGTTTAATCCTGCAAAGCTTACAAAATTAGTGTGAACATCATAAAATCCAGAAACAGGTCCATCTGCAGTCAGTGTGGCTGAAGGATCCTCATTTGAATGGCCTCTGAAATGAAAAGCAAAAGAAAGTGCACTTGGGAGTAAGTGAAGGCCTGAGATTGTTTTTCTGTTTTTTGCCTCTGAATATATGAGTGCATGTACATAATATAAATAATGACAAATTGTGGAAGTTATGTTTTATATTGTTTTAGCCAGTTGACATTTGTGTGTGGTATTAGAACAAAAACACAATAAATGGCATCAAATTGTGAAATAAAGTTGAATAAAAGAACAAAACATTGTCGTCGTTTTTTTCTCACCTCACCTCTGTTGCCTCGGTGTCTCTGCGCTTATTTCTTCTAACCAGCTGTTACTCTCAGGACAAGACTAGAGACAGAGGGAGGTAGAACATCGCGGCTCCACAGCTGTACGACCTCCCTCTGTCCACCAGACGAGCTTGTGTCCTGTTTTGAAACTTTTAAAAAATGCATCTTTTTAAATTAGTGTTTGACTTAATGTTCATGAATTGCTTTATTTGATCTATTGTCTCTTGCGTTAACTTGCTAAAATGTTTGCTATTTTAATTAAGTTTTAAGATTTTTATGTTTTATCCTCATGTGATATGAATCCTTTTTATAGACCATGTATGAATAATTTAAAGGTACGTCGTGTGTTCGTCCTGTGATCGTTTGTGTCTTTCTTTGAAAACCTTCTGGTTTTCACCGGTGCTAAAGAATATTTTTCTAAGTGAATTCCAAAGTCTCTGCTCAAAACAGTTGAAACTGTGAGATTTCAGTCTTTGCTGCTCTTAAAATGTTTCCTTGACATTGAGAAAACAATAGCATGGCACTGAATAACCTAAAACGAGTGGATGCATGCACAGAACATTTTTTCTGTGACCAAGATATTGCACAAGTATTTTCAAATGTCAAATTTGTTTTATTTAATTTCCCCCCTTTCTCAATTTTTTCTTCTTTTTTTTCTCTCTCTGTTTTTCTCTGTCCAGAGTTGAAACCTGATGTCGTGCTCTCGGGTCTCTCGCACGACATGCTTAAAAAATCTAACACCTTTAAGACCTTTTGTTTACATCCCCTGTGGTTTATTATCCCACTATGACACCAGTGGGTCAAAAACAAGTAGTGATGGCTCAGGTGAGAAAAGTTTTTTTTTTCTCTCTTTTTATTTTAGCTTAGATGTTAACGGTCCTTTTGTCAGTTATGATTTCCTCTAACCTCCACTGTGCTGCAGATGAGGACAGTGGAAAGCCCCATGGTGGCACCTCTGTCTCTGCCTCACTATGCTGATCCGGGACCTGCGTCCTCCAGCCTTCACAACTATCACAGCTTGGGCCGCTGTCTCCGCACCAATGTAATTCTAGGTCTGTGCATCAGTGTCTAGCCTCTATTTACTCTCCCAGCTTCCTAAGCTTCTGCTGCTCTATGTTGGAAAAGGTTTTTAATTCCATTCCCTCGATTTGTAATCAGACCAAGTGCAGGAAATTAAAAAGCTTCCCCATGATCAGGCTGGATTTTGTAAAGTTTGTGTAAATGGCAGGCGCCTCATCATTTCTAATTATGTATTGTGGGATATCTTGAATCCTAAACAAACTAAATTACAGCCAATTAACATGTGAGCTTTGATCTAATACTCCTCTGATGCCATGTGACCAATTATCAATATACTACTTTCAATATCTTGTTAGGCTAACATGACATTAACAATATTGTAGAGGCAGTATTCACACAGACAAGATGAGGGAGGTCATAAACAACGTCGTATTCTGCAGAATAATTCAAATATATGTTGTGTTGTTGGAGAGTGTTCCAAGAAGAGTCTGAGTCATGTCAGAGTCAAGTCTCCATTTCCATTAATGAGTCTGAGTCATCAAGGTTGAATTTGACGTAGGAGTGGTGAATGCAGGGAGCACAATTCTGTTGTTACTGCAGAATGTAGACTGGTACAAAACACATGTTAAAATGTAGATGTTAGCATTTAGCTCAGAGAATTACTGTTTCTTCAGCCTCATTTTCTTATTAGTCTCTGTCCCATCTTTCATTCATCCTGCTGAACCTTCCTCCTCTAGGTGCTCCTGTCACCCGCCACCCTCTGACTGCCTGACCCACCGACCCCCATCTCTGGTACGGACACAGGACAGATGAGATGGGTGGGTGTATTTTGAATCTGTTGTTCTGCTGTGTTTGTTCTGATCTTGTTTTTTAAGGACATGTTTTCACTGTGTGTTGTGGTTGCACATCTGCAGTGGACAGAGAGGAACATCATGAACCAGAAGCTCAGCAAGATACTGAGCGAAATGGAAAAAAGGGCCACCACAAAATGATGTCCTACTTCCTACCTCTAGACCACAACACACACTGCACCCTGATAATTCACACCATCGGTTACTCTGGAAATGCAAAAGTGTGACTTGTACATGTTTCTCAGATGCTGCTTAACAATAAAGGATGATGTACTATCACCAGACAGAACATGACTATAGACTAGGTACTATATAATGAGTGTGCGTGCATGGATATAAATAGACATATATGAAAAGCCACTTTTTAATGTTGTTTTCAATTAACTCTCAGAGATGCTGTTTTCCAAGCTGAGAATTAAATATTGACGAGTCTTAACATAAATCACACAGTTCCCACTATAGAACTAAAACTATAGGAGCTGCACTGCGGATGCTCGCAGCAGCTGAAGGGTTATTTGTAGTTGTGTGTGATGTGTAAAGACATCAGAATGGAGGTGGTTTCAACAGAAACCACTGAAACTGTGTTTTTGTCACAAGTTGCTTCTTCTACTGTCAGGTCAGACCTACATAATGAGTCTGTAGCAGCAATGATAGAGTATAGAAAGGTTAAAGGACTCACACCATGATGATATATTACTTTTAATGCGTAATGTTCCACTGTAAAACCCTCTGTTAGGGTGCGTTGCTAAAATGAAGTGTACACAAAATGTAGGAAACAAAGTTGTACTCTCACAAGATCCATGAAGTGGTTTTACTTTTACATGACTCATGGCTAAGCTACATACTTGCAAATTCAACTGTACTTGTGTTGTGTTCAATTCACCAAATCTTAGTGATAATAATGATAATTTTGCACTTGTTTATAGAACTTTTCAAACTTAAGCACAAATGCAAGTGGAAAAAAGAGTAGAAATGAAAATCAGAGGTCCATGAATAAAAGTGTAAGTATACTAGTGTTTTTCATGGCAAACTGTATTTCTTTATTAATATATATATTTATGCATCTAAGTATTAGATTTGTTTTGTTTGTCGTTATGTGGATTTCTTCATTGGTTGAGTCAGTAAACAGAGAGCTGCTGTAGTGTCACGTTTTCTTGATTATTTTTAACAGACTAAAACTCCAGAGTTGAATAAATGTTTTATTTTTGTTATTGAGCTCCCGTTTATAAAGTATCTGAGAATCCTTTATTACTCTTCTCACCTCTACACCACTGAGCCCCCACCCTTCTCTTTGTGGTTTGCTGATGGGGACTTCTTGTAAACAACACTAAGCTCGTCCTCCCGCTTCAGCAGCCTCCCGCCACAGACATGGCGGACTTTGACCTTTTGACAAGTGCTGTATGGTCTTTAAACTCCTATACATCCTCCTCTGCATGCACCAACCCCCTGCTACACTTGTTTCTCTCTTCAGAGCCGATGGCTGATACCTCGCAAACTGCAGGAACTAGTTGGTGGCAGAGTGTTGCGGGGTGCAGGGGGTGGCCTGTACCCACTCAGACACCTGAACTGAAATGTATGTTGTGTTGCAACAGGTTGTTGTATGGGTGAATGCATTGTGGTTTGCTGTTGCACAATAGCCTTTCATTGAAATATGAGACTGTGATAAACACCTTTAGATACTAGAGCATAAGCCTCCCCTCCCTTACCAACCATCTGCAAAATGGCTCTTTTCTCCATTTAGAGTTTCTGTGGCATTTCAGTTTTGATTTGAAATCTACTGACAATGCAATAGTCTATATCTTATATGGAGAGAACAGCATGATGAGTAAAGCACACGACCCTCATGTAAGACCCTCCTCAGGCTCAGTGTTTTTGGTTGAACTTCATTATCTGGCTTTGCCTTTTTCTACAACCCTCTCCCCCATTATTTCTCAACAGAGACTGAACAAAGAGGGGAAATGGTATGTTTAATTCACCGAGCACAATATTTGTTGAACCAAGAGTGACTGAATGAATGGCTATTGTCACTGAGTAAGATAATAAACAGGGGCGCACTTAAGTTGTGTCTTTCACCACACATTCTAAAATGTTTCAATCTGGGCCAAGTTTTTAAACATTGGCTGCAAAGTTATCTAATCAGGCAACTAGGACCCTGCATGAAAAGTCCACTTGATAATGATGTGGCCCTATGGGGCGAACAACAGGTATAACTGACCTCCACTGACACACATCAACAACAGAAAGCCTTTAAAACAATACACATAATGTTAAACTCTCAGGCTGAAGCTCAGCAGTCCGCACACTGGAGGCCTCCCTCCTCATCCTGGCACAGGAGTTTTTAAAGAACCTCAATCCACTGGCCAGGTGAACCTCATTGATGACTGATTGGGTTATCAGGGTGGAGCTAGAGGAGAGACAAGAGACAAACAGGGACACGCACAGCCGTAGCACCACTACACATGCTTTTTTCACCAATAAAATACTTTTGGTAGACGTGTTGTGTCATGGCTGCTGGTGGAGGTTATCTGCTGGACTGATTCCAAAAGTTCTGACCTCTGTAAAAATCTGACTATCCTCCCTGTTGCACAGAGAAAAATATTCTTTGTGCAATAGGGAGGATAGTCAGAATAACCTTCATCCTAAATTAGTCTGAGGCTGAAAGTTTTTTTTGTGGACCTTTAAATGAAGAGCTGACTTCTGCTCTCGCCCCTCTTTCCTCCATATGATGCACTGAGAGTATACATGTCTGCAGTGGTTGTGGCTGTTACAGCAGTGGTTTTGATGCTGTACAACTTTTTTCTTGTGTGTAAATAACCCCATGGTGCTACATCTGGCTTTTGCCTCTTTAATCCTCTGAATCTTCAGTTTCAGCAGAGTTTTATTGGCATAAACTTACCTTCACCGGACAACGTGTAGGTTTTTTTTATATACACTTTACATCTGATTGAAACAGGATGTGGTGCTGCTGCTTTGAATTTCTTGTTTTCAGTACAATTATAATGTTTAAAGCCATGATGGTGCTGCTGGTCATAATAAGAAGGGTGCGGCTGTGTGGTACAATCTACAAATAGATAAGGCACAACAAGGAGTTAAAGCTGAGAACAATTCCAAGAATCCAGAAAAACACCAGAGATTTAAAACAAATATTTAAAATAGGGAACATATGAGTGCAGTTGTATGACAGATTTTAACTCATTCCATTTAAAAATGTGCTCATTATACCTGAAACCAGCCTCATTAGTGGAGTTTTATTAATGAATAACATGTAACTGTGAGGAATTTTGTCCTTTGTGATAAAAGACGTAGATAAAGTTCAAATAGACTCACCTTAGCCTGTCCTCTCTCTCTCTTTCTCTCTCTCTCTCTCTCTCTCTCTCTCTCTCTCTCTCTCTCTCTCTAGCTCAGCTTCAATACACAGCTTCCTGTAAGCCCCAGACGCCCGCTGTGGTTAAAAGTGAAAAAATGTTGCTGGGCACTTAAAAGAAGAGAGCAGAGCGAGAATGAGGAGACGGAGGGATGAGTGTCAGAGAGAGAGAGAGAGGTAGATATGTGCTAGCAGAAGAAAAGGGGAAAGAAAGAAAGAAAAAGTAGAGATAAAGAAACAGAAGAAAAGAAAATCCCCCAAGTCATCGGTCAAGAGGAGAAGACGACAATGTGTTTCCTCTCTGGGACGCCCTGCTGCCTTCACTGACCAAGACTAATGAGGTAGTGTTTCACCTTTTCTTAACAATTCAAAATGGTGTGAATCCACCAGCCTATATATTCATGTATTTGAATGTTTGCTGCACATATACTGTATTTTATTTTCACCTTTTAGCCATTGCAGGTGTAATATGTCGATTTACGAATATGCTGGTGGAATTATTTTACACATGAATCAACATGAATCATCATTTACTCTGAATCACCTTTCACAAAGTCTTACTCAGTTCAGACGTTGACAGAAAAAAACCCCAGCGATGATTGATGACTCAAACTTGAGGAAAAATTCAAAGATGGCAGTTTGGCTCATATGTTAATCACATGTAGCCTGATATGTCCACACGAGGATTGAATACGTCACTTATGTTTCTATTCTTCAGTCTGTAATCAGCCTCAGTGAAGTGAATCAAACATTGTCAGTATGGCATACAGGAAGCTGTTACTGTGACTCAAGACCACCGGCACAGGTGCCCGTGTTTTTTATTCGTGAGTTTCACTACTGTCGTCTCAAACTGAGTATTTTGCTCAGTTTGGATCTAGAGTTATTTTCTCTGAACAGAAGTGCAACTCTGTGCATATGACGGTTGCTTATTCGGTTTCAAAAGCGACTTTCATAATAGATGTAGAAACAGGAGTGGTAGTTATCAATCCGACGACTGTCACTGTTTGAGACGGAGAAAAGTTTTAATCACAATAATCCAGTTTAATAGCTTTTGATTTTTACACGTATTCCACAGAAGTACGTTATCAAGTTACTTCCTCTCCCATTTTTTTCAGCATTTGTCTGTTAATATATGTTAATGTGTTAACTCTATTGATTCCTTGTCTCTTTGTGATGTGCATAAACGTTCGATCATCTCTGTTTACAGTCATATTGTGGTCATGGAGTTGCTGTGGCCCTCATACGTCCTGATAGTCCTGTTGTCAGCCAATGCAGCCCACTCCCACAAAGAGTCACAAAGTAAGAATGTTTTTACAGTTGGTTTTAATTTTATTATATTGGAAAAGCTATCATTGTGTGTCCATCTAAACGTCCATCCATCTTGCCTCTCTCTTGCTGTCTGTTGCTTTGCCTCTGGAGCTCGAGGACTCTCCTGCGTGAGCGACTTCGTCCAAAATGTCAGCTGTACGTGGAGCGGCTCTCCAGTTGCTCCTGGTGTTGACTGTTGGATCCATGGTACAAGGAAAATCTGGATCCTTGAGAACAGCACAAGATACTCCAGACTAATGATGTAAGATGTTGAAGATACAATCTTTAATTGTGCCAGTATGTCGGGTATTTGCTCAGTTTTCTTGGTGCTTCCGTGAGAAGATGAAAAGCAGTTATTGATAATGTGTTCTCTGTTTTCTATACATCATTAGTCGAAGCTGCAAGCTGAAACATCACAACACGTCTCCTGTAGGCTGTAGTCTCGTCTTCGAAAATGAAGTAAGTCACAAATGTGTGTAATTCATAAAGTATGTCAAGATTTTCTTTCATGTTTTCTTTCCTTGTTGTTCTTTCTTCGGCCGTCATAAACAAACAGCACTGAAATATAAAACAAATCCTCGTCAATGAGCAGCAATCAACACTTGTTACTGACCTGCACGCACGATCTTCGTCTTTTGTTGTGGATCCCTCTAGGACTTCAACTCTTATGAAACCAACAATATCAGCCTGGAGTGTGACGGCAAGTTGTTGGAGAACCTTCCACAGTACCAACCAAGCAAAAACAGTGAGTAACTTTTACTTCGTCTGTTAAAACTGTTAAACCTTCGAGTTGATCCTGAAACTTTGGACATAAAGAATCATTCAGTATGAGAAAATTGAGAAAATGCTTTCGGAAAAGTAGTGTAGAAATGGTTGGTCAATTGGTATTTCTGTGTGTGTGTGTGTGTGTGTGTGTGTGTGTGTGTGTGTGCGTGCGTGTGTACAGTTAAAATGAATCCTCCAGGTGTTCCTACCGTCATCAGCACTGCTAATGAGACCTGCATATCATGGAGTCCAGGCAGTCCTCGCTCAGTCTTCATCACCAAATTTAACTTCCAGGTTCAGATCAAACTGAAACAACAGACGTGGAAGGTGAGTGACCATTAACATTTCTGACGTGTGAAACCATTGTGTGCTTGGTTTCACACAAATGTGGTACAAAATAAATGCTACTGAACTAACGCTGGCTATCCAGGTGTTAAATCACACAAATCCTTTGAGACTAATTCCAGTACTGTGCCAAATGTTGATGTGTTAACAGGAGGTCCAGAGTTTGCCCACAGGAGAGCCATATTTAAAAATACCTGCTCTGCAGCCAAAGGGCCACTACCAGGTCAGAGTGAGGGTCAAGCCCAGCGATAGGCCCAACAGCCACTGGAGCAACTGGAGTCCCACAACATCCTGGATCACATTCCAGGAGCAAAGTAAAAACATGAGACACACTTCACATTAGCAAAAGAGAGCAGTCTCCAATCATGTGAAGGAAAACCAACTGGGGTCACCTGCACTCACTGGAACATCATCTCTCTGTTTCAGATTGGCTTCTGCAACCGACACCACTGATACTGTTGGGAATGATGCTGCCTGTGGGTTTTCTTGTGATATTGGTCTTTTACTTGAGTTGTGTGCGCAAGGGGTGAGTATACTGTGTGTTCAATGTGCATCAATGACAGCAGACTATTAAAATCATCCTGGAGGTATCCAGCTGATGGCCAGGGTCAACCGATGGAAATTAGCTTGTATAGCTAACTCAGGCTGATTTAGAATAGTTTGTCCCCAAGTAAACAAACAAAAAAAAAAAAAAAATGACAGAAACTGTCAGAAATTTTTGACTTTTTAGTTTGATTCATGTCCCATCCACTTACATGGAGGAGTCGCACTTTGTGAGCTGCACTGCAGTTAGCCACCAAGGGGTGATCCAGATGTTTTGGCTTTACTTCTGGGGAACCGTCATGTCGTCTATCTTTATATATGCTGTGGTGTTTCTTCTATAACTTGTTCTCTTCATGCTGCTTCAGGCGTCTCAAAGTGAAGCCAGTGCCAAACCCTTCCAAATACTTCCACACCATCTACTCTGTCCAAGGAGGAAATCTGAAGGTAAAAATAAACCTTCTCACCAAACCTTTATCTCCACATCTTTTGCATGAAAATGGTATGCTTCAGTAACTGCAGGTGTTATCCTAAAATCTATTTATAAATCCAGAGAGCCGCAGCCGCAGTCAGTCACAGATTAGAGAAATTCATGTTTAAACCACAAAAACAAAAATTGCTTTTTGTTGTGGTTTGTTGCTTGAATTCCAGTCAACCCTGACACATACACCAGCACACACACACACACGTAATCAGAAAATACAATATTTCCAATTTAGGAAATGTTCCCTTCATTCGTGTGATTCCTCTGGTGTGTTTTCTTGTCTAAATCTTTTCTTACTCCTCAGAAATGGCTGAATCCTCTGTCATCGTACTTCATGGCTCAGTCAGATGATCACATCTCCCCGGTGGAGGTCTGTGAAAGCTGGGACACTGTCCCCTCTGCCTCTCCTTCCACCAGCTCCACCATTGCTCTGCTCCACATCGGGAGCTTCCCCTCTGCCGGCTCTGACAGCAGCAAAGTTTTTGATGACTCCTCCTCCTCCTCCTGCTTCTCTAACATTGGCTATTTCATGTCCAGCACCTCCAGTAGCATCACTACTGACCCCAATCCTGCCTACTTCACTTATCAGGACGATTTCCACAACCTGCACAACAACCGCCGCCTTCAACTCATCCTCTCCCCCTCCTTCACCTCCTCTATGACCCACGAGCGCTTGAAGAGGGAGCCGCAGAGCCCAGATTCTGGCTTTGGCATCGGACAGGCAGACGAAGAGGACAAAACAGAAGAAACGAGCATGCCTACAGAAGGGGACGAGGTCTCAGATGATCCTAAGAGCTCACCTCTTCTTATCCTCCCTTTGCATCCTCCTTCCTGGGTGTGCCCTACTTCCTCTGCCCTGTCCCCTCCTCAACTCCCCAGTCTCAATCAGATTTGGTCTGATAGCCAAGAGGAGGAGGAGGAAGAAGATGTAACAGCTGCTTACGGTAACTCTGAGGCCTGGCCTGTGGCTGGCACCATGTGCAGGTCCTCCTCAATGCCTGCTGAGCCTTGTAAAACAGGCTATCTCACAATAAAAGAACTACAGATCACATTCAGCAATAAATCTATCTGAAATCCCTGTGTAAAATCTGATCTGTGCATTCTAGTTTGAGAGAGGAGTGTCTGCGACATGTTGGAGTGCTCATGTGCAGCTTCAGCTCAGAAGAGGTGAGGTGAGAGATAAATGTTGCTGCTCTTTATATGCTGTACATGTTTCCGTTGCACTCATTGACTCTGTGTAGAGACCAAACAAAATAAAAGCTCTGGTAGAAATGGGTCACCCTTTCACTTCCTGTGTCAGCGTGGAATGAGTACTGCGAGTTGGTGAGCCGGTGTGACAAAGAGTGTGAAACGCCCCATTCGTGTATGTGAGTGTATGCGTGTGTTATTTCAAGTGTTGTCCTGTCAGGTGGTCCTGGAGGTGTGCGTGAGTGTGTTAGTGTGTGTATTAGAGTGTGGTTTGACATTTAACTCTGACACAACCAGTGACATCCGCTCACCTCACAAAGAAAAAAGCTTTTCATCAGTCTCTTCTTTCCATTTCACAACAGCTTCGTACATCGTGCATCGCATTCAAATGATGTTGACACGTGTCCCTCTGCTTGACAACAAACATTAAGGATCCAGCTGTTGCCATTGTAAGAATGAAAAAGATATCAGATCAAATAAATAGACTCAAATTGGTTATGCTTCTAGTTATATGTTGGTTTTTTAAACATCGGTAAACCGGTTAAAAAAGGAGATTGATTTGTTTTACCATTGCCAGTAGAAAAGTTTGCCCTTCTGTTTTTTCCCCGGTGCATCATATTCAACAATGGAGGTGCATTCACCCAGGCTTTCAACTCTGTCATTTGACTCTTGAGAGAATGATGATTGCTTCTGAGACTTCAGAAAAAATATTTTTTATTGAGGATCTCACAAAATGTGGCATCTTACAGAATGGAGCGACACTGTGAAGCATAGCTTCAAATGAAACACATGGGGGGTTTTGAACCACGTGGTTATACTCTTGTTAGCACCGGCAAAAATTGAAGATCCTTGTGAGGCAGCTGTCCATCGTCTTTGTTTTTCCTGAGCTACGCCACAAAAACGCTTTTAGGTTTGGACATGCTGTCATCCAAATCTGAACGCAATCCCCAGTAATTATATCAGCCACTAACAATATGTTTTGAGATTAAAATGCAGGTTGTGTTTTGAGAACGAAAATAAAGTTTCCAGGCGTTGAGATGATGTTTGTGAGATGATGCAGCTGCTGGATAAATGGAGATGAATGAGACTTGTGGTGTCCGACTGAAAGAAGAGCAGCGGGGGGACAAGCAGACGCAGGGAGATGACAAGAGTTCATGAGAGTCTGATTCTTTACGACTGTGAGTGTTTACAGGAAGATTCCATGAGCTGGCATCAGGTGGCTTCAGATGCATAATCGTTTACATCAGGCAGAAAAAAAACAACAAAGTAATGTTCTCGTGCTGCAACAGCAAAACAATCTATGAAACCTCGACTCTCAGGACCTGAAGGCGATAATGTTCAACAGCTGTGCTCAGGTTACACGTGGGCACGAAGCCTGCTGCAACCCCCTCTGGTTCTCTGTGTTCTCTGTGCAGACAACTGGGGTCATGAGATGCAGGGAATCATTTCACCTTTCTGCATCTGGAGGAAATGATCACAAAGTCTTTTCATTCATGATTAGAGGTTGTCTGATCCGATCTGATTTCTTATATATCATAAAGTTTTCTTGTTTGCTGTTGTTGTTTTTATTTGTAATAAAATTTGCTGTTGTGTTTTCTTATATACTGTTCTACTCTACAGCAAAATAAAAACCACTCACTGACATCCCTCCCTAATTTAAATTGCTCTCCTGCATCTTTTCCTTCTTTGGCACTGCTCTCTCTCTCTCTCTCTCTCTCTCTCTCTCTCTCTCTCTCTCTCTCTCTCTCTCCCCTCTCTCTTGTGCAGCTGCAGTAGATGCAGGGGGGCATGGAGGAATTCAGCACAGCGGAAATGCAGACCAGGACTTTCCATGACCTCTGGGGAGTGAGTGAACCCCCCCCCCTCCAGGCGTGTCAGAAATTGCAAACTACATATTTTTCTCCCTTTTGCAGCTGTAACAATTGCTTCTTGTATCTTCAGGAGCTGTTGTTCCACACACATTAAACCATCTCCCCTCAGGTTTTTACTGCCAAATTCAATGGACAGACTCTTGCTGGCTGAGTCTCCATGAAACTGTGGCCACTGGAGGGATCTGTGGGAAACATCTAACACAGAGACACAGAGAGGGAAGGAGGGCTGCTGACTCAACTTCTCCCCTCCGTCCTTCTTCTCCTGAGCGGCTGCACAGACGTGAACGAGGTGAACGAGGTGAGATTCATTCAGATAAATATTTCAGCTGTCTGTGTGATGGTTGCATGAGTGCTGAATGGGAGTGTTGTGTCTGTTTACTCATGAACTTCAATTGAGTCTGTTCTGCACTGTAGACCATTCACATGCTGTAGAAATCCTCCTGTATAGTCTAATGCATGATCTGCTGCATGCACACTCCAGAGCTTTCATTGCTGCATCTTGCCCCTGCTTGTATAAACTTGTACTTATGGGATATACTATTAAAAAGAGACAAAGGTATATCTCTACACGTGTACATTTACAATCAAAAACATTATAAAGAGAAAAAACATCAGCATGCATACAGATACCCCCAGACAGTAGAGTTCATACATATATATAAACACTCAGGATCGTATACATTTATGTACAAGCTTCCAAATAGGGTTTTCCACAGCAGCAGTTATATAAGATCTTTGTTCACGAGCCATTTCAAACACACTGAATGAGCGTCTGTGGTTCACTCTGCAAATCTCCTCAGAACTTTAACACAAGCAGCAGATTTCCACGTCACTGACGAGAACCTGGACCTAAACATAATCATAACCCTAAATTATGTTTATCAACCTCTCATATATGTGTTTGTGTGTGTGTGAGGTCTCTTACTGAGCACATGTATGCAACTGGATCCAGTTGTTCTACATGTATGTAAACACAGCAGCACACACTGTTCCTTTTACTCTACACACACACACACAGCTAATCACTGGAGTCTGGCAGATGTTTCATAACGTTTCCACCCAAACATTTTCAGCCTGGGTGAAAAAAAGTTACTCTGCTGACTTTCTCCGGGTCGAATTCATCATTGTGAGGAGTAAAGCTTCCATATGTAATTGTTGTTAAATTATGGGATGTCTGCTGGGTCGTTTCTCAGGTGATTTATGATCCTTGTCGACAATGATTATGTCACTTTCTTAACTTTTGGGATTTGGATGAGAAGTGCATTAGCGTCAGTCTCTGAGGAAACATTTGGCCTCTCAGAGTCAACTCTGTGAACTGTCTGTACAAAGAGACATATTCTATAGTTTATACCACATTCAACTCACAAGCAAATTCTAAAGAAATATGTGGAATTTTTCACTTTATTTGTTTTGCCAAAATTCCAAACTCCTGCTTCTTCTTTGGTTAACAACTGTATTCTTTGGCTCTGGGTGGAAGATTCCTCTTCCTCTTTTCCACCATTCTGGGAACGACATCTAGAAAACAAATGATCTGATTTACTAAGCAGCTGCTGAACCACTGACATTTGGATTGTGGTTCATAAAGTGAATAAGTCTTCATTACTGGTGCAGCAAGCAATTTAGATAAGATCATTTTTATTAATGTGAACTAATGATATTACCACTGGCTTTTAAACACTGCGGACCACCCTGCCTTCTAGTTTTCAGTAAACTGGAAGGATCCAACTTGCTCCACTCCACCAGTAGAAATGCTCACAAACTTAAAGCGTCTCAAACTTTGCGGCCCGTTCAAACCTGTGACGATTTCCTCTTCTAGACACAGTCATGCTGGGAGTTCTCCTCATTCTGTCCCTGTCCTCCCTGGTGGCTCTGGTGCCTCCCCCGAGGTCTCCCCCTGCCCTCTGCAGGCGCTGCTGTGATGACCTGGAGCCAGAAGAGGGCAGCGGAGAGCAGCCAACCACAGCTGGGTTCAATCATGTGCCAGAGGTCCGCACATACATCAACATGACCATCCTCAAAGGTAGATCAAAGGCAATCAAACTGGATACTGGACTCACTCATGTGGTGAAAAAGACACAGTTTTCGAGAAATGTCATTGTTTGGAGAAAACCTTCCAAAACATGAGACTAACTTTATGAAAATGAATGGAATGTCTTTATGTGGAATTTCGTACAATATGCAAACACAGCAAATAAAAAGGGCTCAGCTCCTTTTCTAGATATGAAGTCATCGAGGGCGTTAGACTTCAGAGCCAAAGACGACTTTACACCAGGTCCACTCCCTCTTATGTTGACTAGAACCCAGACAACATGGATTTTTGTCTGCATTTGCCAATACTATATATATATATATATATCTGTGTATCTTTTTAATATTGGCTGATATATATATATATATAACTTGTGAGCAATATAATTTCTTACTCTCTTGTATTATATGAATACTATCACAAGTATGAATACTATCACTCTGTGTAGGTGACAAAGGAGAACGAGGCGACAGAGGAACACCAGGTAAAGCTGGACCCGAAGGCCCTCCAGGTTCCGGGGGGCCCATGGGCTCAAAAGGCACTAAGGGCGACGCAGGTCTTCCAGGAGACGCCTGTAAAGTCCAGTACTCTGCCTTCTCCGTAGGCCGTCGCAAATCCCTCCACAGCCTGGAGTCGTACCAGGCGCTGCTGTTTGACACAGTCTTTGTCAACCTCGACAGCCACTTCAACATGTTCGAGGGGAAGTTCCTCTGCCACGTCCCGGGGATCTACTTCTTCAATGTCAACATCCACACGTGGAACTTCAAGGAGACATATGTACACATCATGCGGAATGACAAAGAGCAGGCCATCGTGTACGCCCAGCCCAGCGACCGCTCCATAATGCAGAGCCAGAGTCTGCTGCTGGAGCTGGAGATGAGCGATGAGGTGTGGGTTCGACTGTACAAGAGGGAGAGGGAGAACGCAGTTTACAGTGATGACGTGGACGTCTACATTACTTTCAATGGATACCTCATCAAAGCTAGTGTGGAGGAGTGATGTGTGAGAGAAGACAAGCTGAAGATGTGTCTGTTGGGACAAACTGAACATGGGAAAAGAAAGAAGTGTGCTCCACCAAAATCTCTTTGTCAAAATGTGAAGTAAACTTAATACACTCATTACTAATGGATTAATGGATACCACAAAGTGTTAGAAGTTTGAAAGTACTCATGCAGTGGACTGACTACATGAGCGACAGAATCTTTCGGGATCAAGATCACAACTTGATTCCCTGTAGTTAAAAACATTTTGCTCATTCTACCTGGTTTGTCTGCAAGTAAGATTTTATTGACAATGTTTTCCATCAAATTAAACTGAATTTGCTTTATTACTGTTCTAGTGTGTGGCTTTTATATAAGTTTCAACGATTTACTTTGAACCAGTTTCGCACGGCTGCTGTATCCCATAGAAACACATAGACACTGTAACACATAGAAGAAGACAGGTTTAACTCAGTCTGTAGGGAAACTGCCCCACCCCCACTGACAGCTACAGAGCGCTGGTCGTCTGCAAAATACATTTTTAATAAAATTTAAAATAGACGTACACAGCATGAAGCCGATACGATTGACAGTTCACGAGATATGCGTTCCACATACAGACCGACAGACACACATTTGGGGAATTACTACATAGATTGTCTTAGACGTACCTCCAGTATGTGAATAGCAGCGATGTTTATGATCCTTTTCGAGCTCATTCACCCACAAGTCTCATCTTTACAAAGGAGCAGTTGGTATTTCCTGTTGACATTTCCGTATGCTCCAATGATAATGGTGTTATCTGGACACTTTTCCTCCCCCGCCTCCAGCAGGACTTCATGTCACTCCTCACCACACAATGTGACTGTTCTGATTCACGCCTCCCGAGACAACACCGTGATGAATTGTTCTCTGAGCACATCTGATAATATGCTAATGTGGCAGGTCAATATTAATTTAGTGCCAGTATAATAAAACTGAGAATAAATAATTAGTTATATTCATTTGAGACAAGTGACGTGCACAAAGACAGACTGATAAATCCTCCTTCATGCCCCACCACCTTTATTTCTCTAAAACAAAGACCAGACGATGAATGGCGTCATGATACAGATGAAACTGCTACTTTGCATTTCCCCCAAGAACGGGAGGAGGAACAATGCCTGTTTTACAAAAACAGACATTGCTGTGTGCCACTATTTGATGTTAGGATGTGGAATGAGGTCAAAATGTAGGACAGAGTTTGGTGCTGCAGCTTCAACAAACATTTCATCTGTTCAGAGCAGTAACGTTGTGATGGTAAACACATCGGCCATCAAACTTTGAGCTTAATAAGCCCACGACGATTGATTTCCTCGTTACAAAAGCAGAATGTACTCATAGATTTTATTCTGTTAATAAATAAACAGTGGGGGTTTTTTTGCCTTACAAAATTATTCCATTTTATAGTCTTGTCGTTTGCACAGCAGAGAAAAACATATGGATAGTCACATAAGAAAATACAATAAAAGAACATAACAAAAATACAAAAGAGATATGAAAATACAATAAACTTGGCGATCCAAACACTGGTAAGGTGAGTGTGGGATAAAAAGGTGTGTTTTCTTTTTTCTAGGGGGGAACAGACTCTGACGTTTAATAAGGTTTGATTAAAATTTAAAAAACAACAGTCTCACACTCATAGAAAAGAAATAAACCAAAAGGCAGTGAGACGACAGCGTGCGAACATGTGCATCTTAGTGACTTGCACAACAACATGGCACAAACATGTCCATGACATCCGGTACAGTACAAACCACACAATAATCCACTGTGGTAAATGACACAATCCACTGGATACAACCACTGAAAAGAGGATTCAGGCAAATCGGCTGAGGGCTCTATTATTTCCTATGATCACACACAACAAGGCCCAGTGCATGGAATAGACCTCATACAGCTTCTCACTGTATTGTGTAAAAATTAAGTCCTTCTACAAAAATACTTTTTTGCTGTGTAAACGTATGCAACCAAAGGCACTATCTTCTCATCCAACTCTTCATATAAATCGTATAAGGATTTAACCTGGCTCTAACCATGAGCAAACCTTAACTTGAATTTTTAACCTGGGCCTATGTTAATAAATGTGGGTGTGTTGAAGCATGGCACTTTTGGAAATGGTCCAGTCCTGTCTGCACCAGCAGCAGCAGCAAAGCACAAAGAGAGTGGCGACAATGTAACCCTATGGGGCAACTGCGACAGTCCACAAAATGTCGACAATAACAATACAACTGTTAAAGGTTCAAATTGTTATTCCATGTCTTTGCTAAGAGTCTCCCTCAATGACTCATTGACTCACTTTCAATTCTCTTAGATTGTTGCAAGAGTCAGGAACATGAGAGTTGGAGACAAACTAATATGGCTAAATCTTTTCAAGATGTAGCAGAGGAAGGACAACGATCTGCAGAAAGGTTGCAAAGCTCTGGAAACTTGTGGCGTTACTCTGGATCCTGTGACCCTGTGTCCACAGAGGAAGAATATCTATGCTGCAGAGAGTGGGACCTGGTGATGCACGATATTGGAGGTCTTGATGTGTCCACAGACGAGACCATCCGACACAACGCTGTGCGACCACGTTGGAGGATTTTTCACTTGGGACTTGTTGACTTGAGCTTTTCAATGGTGAAATAAAAGCCATTTTAGTGGACATTTCATGGACTGTCACAGTTGGCCCATAAGATTTAATTGTAGCCACTGAGACAATCTACTGGAATTGTAAGCACAATTCATTTATAAACATTGGGCCCGGGGTGAAAAATACTGGAATTCCCCTTTAAAGACTCAGACATTAATACTGACTGTAGCATCAACTTGCACCGACTTTACACTTGGATTTAAAATGCTGAACCGACCTGTAGAACGACGTATGCTCACAGCAACGCATTAGCATTGTACCTGCTCAATAAGACTCTGTCTGTGAGTTCATCTGAGTTCATCTCCTTGCTACAAAACACTGCGTCCCATTAAAATGCTGCCCTTACAAACATTGATCATATTCAGGGTGTGGAGGGACTGCAGTCTCCAGGGTTATCCAGTATAGATCAGCGTCAACAACTGCAGTTTGTGCATGAAAACACAAAGACGACAACAACAGGCAATAAAAGAAAACGTTCCCTTTTGGAAAATCTGGTTTACACACACGGTGTCGTCTGTGGATGCACGGCTGAGGTGAATCAAAAGAATGTTGAAACTCCAGCTTTGTGTCTCAAAGACAAGCTGAGACAAAACCAGCTCCTCAGTCCAGTGTTAGCTGGAGCTGCTGTGCTTCTCCTCGATGAGACAACTGTGTTACAACATGCCCAGAATGTGTCACAGGAAGCAAGCTGCTGAAATATTGTCAGAAATGATTCCGACCACACAATTTGATGGACTTCTTCATGCTGAAACATAATTGGTCTGAAAAAGCAGGAGGCTTCATGTTTTGAGGTGGAGCAGTTTGTGTTATTTAGCACATGATCTTTTCAATCTGTGTATGAGGTATGATTTCGACCTGTTTCTGATGCCGACAGCGTTCAACAAGATTTTCAACATAAAAATCCCTCTCATGCTCAACACAAACATTGCACTTTGCACAACGTGAAATAAATTATCTGATAACACTCTAGTGCAACTACATAATAAAAACCAATCAAGTGACAAATCCAATGCGTTTGTGGCGACGTCACGAACCAAAAGGGTTTCAGCGACACCACAAATGTGGTGCGTGGCTTTGTGACATCACTTTGTCGAGGTTTCTCTGCCATGTCCTGCTACAAGCCTGCATGATCAAATCGCAAGCGTGGTGTGACATCAACGTTGAGCGCGCAAGACACTCGGTGCAGAGTTTTGAGTTAAGGGCAACAATAAATGTGCATAATGTTAGGGACACCTGCTGTTTGCACTCTAACCTGTGTGCTTCTCTTTATCTTTGTGATTTAAAAAGGAAAGGAATGATGGATAATGGCTGTTACCGGGCTTCACTTCATTACTGTGCTTTTCTTTGAGAAGTGGGTGTCCCTAATGATGTGGACATTCAGTGTAGAATAGACAAAACTGGAGAACAGAGGTGTCACTCACTTCATTACTTAGAAAACATGTTGTCTGTTCATGGAGTAGAAACCAGAGTCACTCATTGAGGAGCGAGTCTGGTCTCTCGTAGCCAAAAAGCCTGAAGTCGGGTTCGTACAGCTTGTAGAGTTCTCTCCGCACCTCAACAGGCACCGTGTTGAACCAATCGGCCTCCCAGCTGCTGGCTGTGAGGTTTCTGTGGGAGGTGGGGAACTCCACCACGTTGTCCACACGCAGCTGACGGAGTAGGTGCTCAGCATCCTCCTCTGCCGACTCCAAGTGGCCCACAAAGTCATACTGAATCTGGCACGGATGGCAAAGTCGATACACCTGCCGCCAGTGCTCATTAAAGGGCATCTCCTTCTCTGTCTGAGGGTCCAAGAGGTACTGGATGAAGTGGGAGAAGGACGGGTGGATGCCCACGGCGAATGCTTCGTCCACAGTGGCAGGAGGTGTCGGCTGGTTGGCGTAGCGGCGGAGCATGACCTGCGCAAAGCGGCGATAAAAGTCCTCGTTGCGCAGCTCAAATTTATTCCGGTAGGCAGAGATGAGACGCACAAAGGGGTCCCGCACGAAGAGGAACTTGGTGTACTTCTTCAGCTTCACCTTCAACAATGAACACAAAAGATATTCTTATCACACACATAGAATAATGAACAATTTAATGAGATGGTGAAGGAAACAGGATAGTACAGGAAGCAACTAATAACACGATCAAGGACCTCAGTGATGACTCTACAGCTTTTAGAAATCAGGTTTCATCTATTTCAATAACATCTGCATTAGGGTGCCGACAGTTTCAGGACAGAGAAAACATCAAAAAGTCTCAAAAAGTAAAACTAGAGAAATCACCCGGTGCAGTTTCCACATAGTGAGAACTTTTTAATACCACTTGAAATTGGACCACCTCGAGTACTCATCATTCTGAAGCTTCTTATCGTTAAACTGGCTAGAGCAGGCTGACATTAGTTTAATGCTCAAACTTAATGATGCAGTGAAAACCAGAACTAATAACTCTTTGGTAGAATGGAGAAATAAAGACCCAGCAAATCTGGATTTTTAACAATTTAATACTTTTTATTGCCTTTTATTTGACTGTTTGCAGGATTACTTAAAAATTACTAAATCGATTTCCATGACATTTTGAGGAGAGGTGGGACATGACCCAAAAAAGAATCCGATAGATTTTGGTGTGGATCCACATTTTTTTCCACTGACTTTAAAAGTATGAGTTTCAACAGATTCTCAACATGTTCCATGATTTCTCAAAGAATAATTCATGGATCTTTGACGACCAAGACACATTTAAGGGATTGATATCTGTGTGTGATTTGGTGCAGATCCAAATAAAAATCAGGATCGAGTGAATTTGAATGTTGTTTCATAAGGGGACTGTTGAGTTACAGTCTCTGAGTGAACAACAAAGTTACTTTAACAGACCTTCATGAGGTGTCTAGCAAACTTTCCATAGCGTTTCCAGAACTTGTTGAAGGTGAAGTGCATGCTGCTGTTGTGCACCAGGTCCCTGGGGATGGCCAGAGGGTCTCTCTGGGGGACACCGTCGTGCAGCAGGCTCTCACTGAGGATGATCATGATCCGCTTCCAGTTGCTGCACGCGACCTGAGAGCAACAGGGAGAACACGTGCAGCTTGGGTACAAAGTAAAACCAGCAGAAAACACACGGGCAGAAACAACAGAGGCACGTGTGTAAGTCTGGCTTCACTGTATGAAAAACCACAGCCAAGTGCTTCAGCTCTTATTTGATGCATTCAAACAAATCAGGAACACAATGTGGACGCTGGCGTACCTTGGGGACGTAGCAGTAGATAATGCCGTGCCTGTCGTCCACGATAAGGTGATCCAGCTCCTTGTTGGGGATGTCGTCAAATGAGCGGTTTTTGCCGGGAAACGACACACTGTCGTTAGTGCACATCTCCTGCAGTAACTTCCGCCGATGCTCCTGAAGCACACACAACTTTATTATCAGCAACGAGAGTCAGCTGAAGCATCTGAACACCCTGATCTCCCATTGGCCTGTTTAAAAAAAGATGTTTCTACTTGCTGTGTTTCTGTGAACAGTGTCAGGGAACCAGCATTAAAATGGCTCCTGACAAAATTGGAACACTGCTATTATTCATTTTATCAGTTCCTTCAACTACATATCAATTCATAATATCAATTAAATATTTACTGCAGCTACAACAATTCTTATTAATAATAATAATGTCAGATATGGACCTGTCTCTCACGGAGCTCCGCTGCCACTGGCGTCAGGTGAATCTTCCACTCCCGTCGTGGTACATATCGCTCTTCTGCTTTATCTGATTGGTTGCCTGTGTCGGCAGGGGCGGGGTCCGTGGGCTCACCAGTTCCCGGCTCTAAGAACTGATTAACGAAGGCATCGATGTCGGAGAGGAAGGACGGGGGTCGGGAGGTTTGAGGCCGCTGCTTGGGGGGAGGGTGTGGGATCTTGGGGCCTGGCGACACGGGGGTGTGCAGATACAGATGAGACGCTCCCACGTCGTCCCAGTAGATGATGATGAGGAGGATCATGAAGGCCGAGCCCAGGACGACAAAAATGCGGAACATCCTGGACGTTCCCATGGCGACTGTTGCTTTGTTACAGGGTCACCAATTACAGCATCGCCATGGCAGCAGATTGACAATAGTTATCTGGGGTTTTTTTCTTTTTATGTGATCGCCAGGGTTCTTGCTACGGGGTCACCATGGCAACAGAGTCAAGGTCCAGAAGCTGCCTCTCACCATGGCGATAAATAAACAGCCGCTATAGCAGAGCGCGTGGTGGGAGTTGGCTTCTCATGATGCTGGTGCACGGCAGGAGAGTGATGCACAGGAGTGTCCATGGATTCACACTCACCTCTGCGTCATGGCTGCAGCGCCCTGCACACACACACACACACACACACACACACACAACTGTTATTTATTTTATTTTTCCACTCACATCTCTAAAATCAGCGGCGGTGCTCCAGACACCAGAAAGGATTATTCTGTAAGAACATTTGAACACCAAGAAACACTGACACAGAAAAACCCTTACAACACAAGGCAATCAGCAAAATAGAGAAACCAAGATGAATGTAAAATATAATGACAGATCAAGGTTGTGATCCAAGTGTAGCTGAATGTCTAACCTCCTTATATCCCTTCTTATTCACGCAGCTAGAAGCAGACACAAAAGAATCAGGCAGAACACTTTCATGTGAGAGAAGTATTCTTGCTCTCCTGCTGCTAAAAAGAGCTGGAGAACTGGAGCGAAGCGAGTGAGTCTGACAGTTTGTTGAGCTCGATTTTGACGAGGCCGGCACTGAAGTTCTCTCTCACCTCTCCGAGCTGACCTGCCTCCCACTCCCAGCAGTAAAATCACAAGTGCTTGTCAAATATCTGAAGGCTCTGAGGCCCTGCACACTGTGAAGTCATAAGTTTTGCACTGACACAAGTGTCTTGCTGTGCCACACGTACCCGACTTCCTATGGATCATGGTGTAATGGAAATTTACACATTGCAAGCTGTTAGGTGCCTCCAGCCTGAAATCACAGGCTGAATAATTGACCCCACAAACGCTTGAATCAACTTTATCCAATTTCCAACACCATAGTACAGCGTTGGAACACTTATATACCGAGAACCTATGAAAGCCCCTATGTTAGCGACCTTTGAGGCCAGGAGCAAATATTTTATAGCCCTTACTAAGACACGTTCTGTGTGCACACCCGAAGCCTGCTGTGCTCATGCAGTCCTTCAAAATAACCCATTTCCCTGTGGAGAGCTGCGGAAAGAAGCAGCCTGAAGCAGTAGAGGACAAACACAGCGCGTGTTCTACCTGCAGCGTATCTCACCACTGTTCATGTTCCTAATTAGACATTATCTCCAGAGTATATCTACCTCCAGTTGAGATTGAAAGTCAAAGGGCGTCTCCATTCCGACACACGTCTAAATGTGGAGCTCTCGTGCAACAGTCCTCATATTATTCCCTCTTTCCTGCAGCTAAGAGAGGACCATTGACACGGAAAATCATCATTCCCCTCTCCACTCCTCCTCCTCCTCCCTGCACACCAACGGATTAACGGCCTCCCACTGATGTGCATCGTATCAAACAAGTCAGGGGCAGCAAATATTAAATCCTGACCTCTGTTAATGGCGGAATACAGAATAAGTACAGCCACTCAATTACTCAAATTAAGTACAATACTCCCATGTCATACTACTTTTATATATACATGACTCCACAGCTTTGTAAACATTGTGCTTTTTAATCTACAGCCTAACTTTCATGCTCCTTTAAAAGTCAAGATTTTACCTACAAAACAAATCTGTGGTACAAAATAAAATGTGTCAAACTCTGTGACACTGACACCAAATTGCAGCGAACAAATACATAGATTTTGCACTTTACATTTGTAGGTACATTCAGTTTGGCAGATTTCATGCTGCATCGTTGTCATGGAATTGCTGTATCATGATATTATTGTGGGCCTTGTAACACATATTGTACATATATTGGTATTGCATATATATATATATATATATATAAAGTATTTATATGACACATTTGTGCCCGGTCATAACCTGAGGTCCTCAGTGAAGGCCCTTCTCAACATTCAGTCCCAGCTGAGGACCAGAGGTGAGCGGGCCTTTTCTGTCAGCGCTCCCACTGAGTGGACTAATCTCCCTGAGGAGATCCGTGTGACTCCTGATCCTCTTTTAAATGTTTAAAGACATTTTTACATGTCAGCTTTCTCCTGGTTCTGATCTCTGGGGGCGGCTGTGGCTGAGGGGGTAGAGCGGTTGTCCTCTAACCAGACAGTCGGCGTATGATCACAATCTACCTCATTCTGCAAGCCAGAATACCCCCAAAGTAACCGTGCTGCTCATGGAGGCACTGTATGACTGGCACAAAAGCTGTATCTATGTACATACAGACCATTTACCATCTTACTGTCTATTTTAACCATTTTATAATGTTTTATTCATCTTGTTTTTACTCTTACATTGTTTTTAAATGGTTTCTTACTGTTTGCTTTTTATCTGTTTCTAATTGTTTGCCCTCAATTTTAAATGTTTACTCACGCAGCACCTTGTAACTGAGAGGAGCTGTATAAATAAACTTTATCATTATTATTATATTTCACTCTATGCGATCTACATGTGGAATGACACAATAGATAAATGCTACAAAGATTAAAAAGTAATGTAAGTGAAAGCACTGTACTGAATCAATATTTTGGGATGAACATTGGTCAGTTCACAGTTTTACGCACCTTTCTGTGTTGACCTAAATATTTATCGCCATCTTCTCCTCGTGTTTTTGATCAATCGACACATATATTAGTGATTAGTCACTTCTTATCTCGTGTGTAAGTGTGAAGCACCAAAGAGCCACGAAGCAGCGGAACACTCATCGCACCGTCCTGTCCGCTGCAGCCGCCGGCGGATGCCAGAGCGGACACAATGTCGCCTTTGACGCGCGGGGAGAGCGCATGGACAGCGGGGTACGGACTGTTCCTCCCGCCGGCGGCGTGAGGCTCCGGTCCGGCTCCGTTAACGTTAACGCGGAGACAAAGAGGAAAAACAAGCGGACGGTGTTTGGCTTCATGCGCCGACGGCATCTGAAGATGTCAGAGTCCGGAGCTCCGCGCAGAAACATCCTGCAGAATTCTGTGCGTAATTTCTAACAGTGAGAAATAATAATAATAACAGGAATAATAAAGAGGAATAAACATCCGGAGCTTCTCACCTATTTCCTCCAGCGCCGCGTCAGCTGAGTGTGATTCTGAGATGTGATCACAGCCCGATTTTTTTTTTTTGTTCCAATCCTGAGAGATGGAACGAGACTTCGCGAAGCATCGCGAGAGTTTGGTGTCGGTTGCAGCTCAGACTCAGTGGTTGGGTCAGCTCCTGCACAACATGTCTCCACTGTGGGATGATTTATGTCGACAGCTCCCTCCTGCGACTCCCACAGGAGCACGGGGCTGGAAATAACCTGCTGGACCTGCAAAGAGCAAACATGTCACCCTAACACCAAAAGAATGAGGATGAGGAAATGAGGAGGCCGCAGGGATCTGGGTCTTTATGCTGCCTCCGGCCCATGAGGTTGAAATCCTGTGGTTTGTGAAGTCTTTTCATCCTGTCACATCAAACACACACACACACACACACATCCGTCTGCATATTTTTACCCCCACTCAAACATTTCTTAATTTAGACGTGTACCCTGGCTTTCATCCTGCTTTGATCCCACACACACACACACATACACGTTTGTACTTATAGTGAGGACACTCATTGCCAATAGAAGATTTTTATTTGCATTAATACTTGAATATCCACACTCATATTAATCAATACATCCGTTTGAGATTCTGTTGTTTTATTGTTGTTATTTCGTTGTATTGATTTGCTGCTTCTGCTTAGTTTTTAGATTCTAGAGTTCCATGTCATTGCTGCTCATGAGGACCTCAGTACTTTTTTTTTTACCTCATGTTTTGGAGTGACAATAAATCTTCTTGAATAATGCATCCCCTAACCTAACCCATCAAAACTAACTAAATACTAACTCTCACCCTAAACCGATTTTTTTTAACCCCTAAACTAAGTCTTAACTCTGAAACAGCCGAAGTGGGTCAGAAAGTGGGGACCGGCCAGAATGTCCTCACTTTCCCAAAATGTCCTCACTCTGTAGGTTGTAGGCTCAAAATGGTCCTCACAAAGATATCTGCACACACCTACACACACCACAGTAAAATATTATATAAGGGAACGGAAAAAGAAGGTGGAATGGAGATTTGACACATTTAAGCAGAGAGATGATGTGAAAAGTGGGTTCAGTTGATCAGTCAACATTTATATCACGTATACAAATATCATTATATAACATCACATTACATTTTATAATGTTTGCACTTTTTGTATAACTTATCATTTTTTATGGTGTACGTTAAATGCATTCTCAAACTAAACTGTGCAATTTAATGGTTTCCAACTTGAATTAACACATTATAGAACCAACATACATGAAAATATGTAAATCTACATCACATTAACTGGATCTTTCTTCTCTACCAAAAGTTACACATTATTTCAGGCTGAATTTTTCAACATGTGCCCCCCGCCCCTCTAACAAGCCCAGATGTCAGATCGGGTGCAGACATGAGCATTTGTGGGAGAACATATTGGTTTGGACACGTCCCCTCTCGCTGCATGATGAGGAGATTATCTATCACCCTTATGAAAGAGGTTACGCTCTTAATCCCCGTCTGGCTGACACATTTTGTATCCTCTGTGCGCCTGTACAAAAAAAAAATCTCAACACTGAGCTGTAGAGATCCACAAAGTGACCAGAGCTGCTGAGGAAACATGGGCCCATGTTGCAGAGTAACTGAGGGTCAATCTCAAAGGTCACAGCTTTTGATTGGTTGGCTGATTTTGAATTTCACTCAAAATGGATTCGAAATATTTGCATGAAAAGCACAGATAGAAACCAGCAGCTTCAGCAGAAAGAGAATCACAGACGCATGGCTGGATAGGATCAATCGCAACCGACAACTTAAATCAAAGTTAATGCAAATGTGTTTGTTGAAGGTCGGTTTACTGCTGTTGCCAACCTCATAGTCAAGGGGCCGTGAAATAATCACAAAATTCTGCCGCACAATGTTATTCTTTAAAAGTTTTAAAAATAAGGAATA